TATATTTAATTTTTTTTTTTTTTTTAAGGAAACTGGAGGGGAGCTCAAAGCCCTGACTGAGATCGGGGCCCCGTCACGCTGGCCGCTGCCCAGACACAGAGTAACCGAGATCGGGGCCCCGTCACGTCGGGCGCTGCCCAGACACAGAGTAACTGAGATCAGGGTCCTGACGTGCTGGGCACTGCCCAGACACAGAGTAACTGAGATTGGGGCCCTGACGTGCCGGGCGCTGCCCAGACACACAGTGACTGAGATCAGGGACCTGTCATGCCAGGCGGTGCCCAGCCCCGTCCCTGCCCTGAAGTCTAGACAGACAAGTGAAGGGTTATTATACTCATTTTAGCAGCTGGGGAACTGAGGCACAGAAAGAAGATGTGACTCGTTCAGGGGAGTCTCCCCCTAGCTCCTGCCAAACCCAGGGGGAGTTGCAGATGCCCAATGCCTGGGAAAAATCAGGCCTTTAATTTTCTGCCAATCCAGCCGTCTTGTGAATTTCCTGCTATGGGCACATTGTGACATTGCCAGCAGAGCTGTTATGAGAGCAGGTGGGGAATATACTGGTGGGAGAGGGGGAGCAAGCAACGGGGGGAGTGAGACTGGGGTTGTGATCAGCTCTTAACAAGAGCAAGACACAAAAGGCAGGGGGGAGGGAGTGTCTTTGCAAAGGGCTTTGAGATCTTCTGATGGAAGATGTCCTGAAAACAAAATCTTGTCCCCTGGGCATTCTCTTTCTTTGAAGCCGGTGAGGCTGGTCGCTGCAGGAAGGCTGGGTCGCTTGTCTAGGAGGAGACCGATCCAGACCAGGCAGACAAGTCCTATCGTCCCGTTGTTACTCATTAGAACTAGGGGTTGTCACCAGGATCACCCCCTGCCCATCCTGGATCCAAACTCCTCCCCGTCAAAGTTTGAGGGGGTTCAAAGCCTGCATCTGAATTTCTGTGGCTGACACCCATCTTGTGTCAGACCGTGTCTTGGGTGGGGTCTTTATGTACTAAGACAGGAGACATCCCCCTCCCCCCGCCACACACACACAAAATAGCTATCGATCTATTCGGGGCCTCTTTGACTTTGTGGGATGGTGACAGGGTCGTGGCTGCCCCGTGCGCTAGAACAGCTGCTTTGGCTCGAATCAGCCCCTCGGGGCTGGGTTAAGGCAGAGGGGTGATGGGCCCCAGCGCCTGCCATCGCTTGAAGGGAGCAGGAAGGAAGAAAAGCTTGGAAATGGGACTGATGCCTGCCAGAGTTTGCAGCCAGCCTGAAACAAGAGCTCCAGGAGGCGTGAGCCGTGGGAACTGCCCCATTCTGCTTAACTCTGGAACCCGCTGCAATCTCAGTGGGAGATTTGGGTTCTAACCGACAGAGCAGGGGCTTAATCTGAACCAGCGTACCTAGGTCTCCAGTCCCCTGCTGACGGAGACTATGCTCCTTTCAAACCTCCCCCAGGGCTGCTGAGCAAACCCCGACCCCCCCACCACCACCACCCCTGCAAATGCCATCCGTGGCCGCTTGAAGCCCGGCCCGGCAAGGGTTAACGCGAAATAGGCTGTTGTTTGCAGACGCGCTGCTTGGATCTGATCAATATTTTCTATCAGCGTGCAGCCCCAGATGAGGAGCCAGGCGGGGAGCGGGGGTGGGGTGGGGGCTGGTTGGGGGCGGGGGGCACGGAAGGAACTGGAGGAGGGGAAGGCAGGGCCCTCATGTTTCACAATCGTAAGACAGAGCCATAGATCATCGCTGTACAGCGGTGCCACTTGGGGAGAGGCATGTCTGTACAGCTGGCCTGGTGGGTGCACAGGGCAGGAGGTGGGGGGACAGGGGACGGACGGACAGGGGGTGTTGCATCACATGGTACACTGCCAGGGCTGACAGAGGCATGTGCAGGGCTCTGGTTGAGGGCTGGCTGTCTCAGGCAGAACCCCGGTGTTGAAGACACCCCCTAACTCCCCCAGAACCAAACACCAGCGGCTGCCGGGGCCAGGTTTGCAATGAACAGCACTCTCCTGCTGTTTCACACTAACAGGGGATTTAGGATCCTCACCAGTCGTTAACCCACAGCCAGATCCTGAGGCCTTGAAGCTCCACAAACGTCAAAGCTGACCAACGGAAGCAGGTGAAAATCGGTGGGGCTTTCAGCCGGCCCCGCTTACACTGGCTAGACCAGCAGGTGCATTCTGGGTGGGTGTGCTTGGCATGCGGGGCAGCGTCGCCAGCTCCCGGGCCGTTTAGTGCGTAAGGTCCCAGCTCCTGGAGTCAGGTGATTCTGTCAGCTGCAGAGAAATTTGCGTCTCTAACGGGCCTTTGTCATCTTCATAGCCACCCCCGCCAGCTGCTCTCAGCCCAGCTGCAGCCTCCCTCTGCAGTTCTCCTGCTGGCAACTACAGAGTCCCCTTTTTATCCTCTAGCGACTGACTGAGGCCCAGACTTCTGGCACGTCTGGCCACTGGGCTCTCAGTCCCAGCTAAACCAGGTCCGAGGACAGCTGAGCCCAGCTCCCAGAGCCAGCCTTGGAACAGGGTTGGTTGAATGACCTTCAGGTTGGTCCAGTAGTTAGGGCCCAGGCCTGCTCTGTGCCATTCCCTGCTCTGCTACAGATTTGGGCAAGTCACTTGGCCGCTCCGTGCCTCGGTTTCCCCATCTGCACAATGCGGGTGATCGCCCTGCCCTGCCTCACAGAGGGGTTGGAAGGATCCGGCCATTAATGATCACGAGGCGCTCAGATACTAGGGTAAAGAAGAGGCGTAGCAGATAAAAGGGACAGCTGCCCGGTGACCCTCGGCGTCAATCAGACGTTTGCCTGACGTCCCCTAGCCTCAGCTGTACGATACGGAGTCGTCAGTGCTTAGCTGGCCTCGCTGGGTTGCAGCATGTCTTTATTTCACTAGGAGCGTGGTGAAGCACTGGAATGGGTTCCCTGGGGAGTGGTGGAATCTCCTTCCTTAGAGGTTTTTAAGGCCCGGCTTGACAAAGCCCTGGCTGGGATGATTTAGTTGGGGATTGGTCCTGCTTTGAGCAGGGGTTGGACTAGACGACCTCCTGAGGTCCCGTCCAATCCTGATCTTCTATGAGTCTACGATTAGCTGGGCCCTATCGATCCAGGAGCCCATGAAGCACTGGACCGAGGATCTGTGGCTGAATATAGCAGCATTTAACATCTCAGCCTCCCCCTTCCCCCCCCCGCCCATGCCGGCCTCTTGCTCCATCACTGGGCTCCCTTGGCCCAGCCCATCCATCATCCCAAACGCGCCTCCTGAAGTGCCTGATGCAATATTAATGGCGGGCGGGCGGTTGGACGAGGCTCTAGCGAAATGAAGTGGCGGTTCTCGTGCATTATTGGTTTCCTTAGCTGTGAACGGTTATTGACACCCTACCTGAAGCCGGGCGGTGGTTACTCACCCGGAGCGGGCGGGGAGGCTGCCACAACCTGCGTCAGGCTGCGGTTACGTGGTGTGTGGCGGGAGAGGGTGATAGCCCTTTAAATGGTCGGCAGGCCCTCTGGCGGCGCTCACCGGGTTCTGTGTTTTAGAAGCTAGCCGGAGTAGCAGCCTTGGTAGCTAGGACTGGCACAAGTCAATGTGATTACTTAGGGTCCAGCTGTGTCCGTGTGGTATCGGCGTAGGTTGTGTCAAGAGCAAAAGACGCACCAGACTGGCGTAGATGGATAGACGGGCAAGGCTGGCCTACTCCAGGGAACCGAGAGCTCTAACTGGGGCGTCTCTAATTTTCTTTAGCATGGAGTGATCTCAGCCCTGGTGAAGGATACCGCCTTGGCATCCCCAAAGCCACAAGGCCTCCGTCCATCCACAGAGCACGGGCGGTGGGCGGGCAAGCTTCAACGCTCTGCCCCCCGGTGTGTTCATTTTACCTGCTTTTCAGCAGCTGAGCTCCTAACTGGGGTAGGCCTGCGAGGCCCCACGTTAGAACAACTCCCCTCAGGATTCCAGTCTCCGGGGTTATTTTGTCCACCAGTTAGGCCTAATGTCTCACGCCGGTTCTGGTCCAGTCTCACACAGTTCTGGCTCAACAGGCGCGATCTGAACTCAGCCCTTGCGTTATATCAGGAGACCTGTTTGTTGGGACAAATTCAATCTCTGTCTGTCTCACTTCTGCCCCCACCCGCGGTGGTTGTTCTGGGTCATCCTGACATCTCCTGAGCTCACGTTCACTCTCTGCAGCTGAGCTGACAATTAGGGGAAACTCGTAGGGTGTGGGTTGTTGGGGCAGGGCCTGGTTCTCGCTGGGTGTCCATGCGGCACCCGGCACCCCGGGGACCTGAGCCCAGTTGGGGACTTGTGTGATAGAAGTTTGCACTGGTGTAAATGACGGCACAAGGGGCAGGGCAAAGGAGACTCGTCCCTGGAGGAGGGAGGAAGGAGACTGGGACATGACCTAACGCCGGGGGTGAGTCTCCTTATATCCCCTATATTCCCCCATCTGCCACTGCCAGGTTCTGACCTCTTCTTCTGAAGCAGTTGGTACTGGCCCCTGTGGGAGGTAGGACAGCAGCTACCTGGACCTTGGTTCGGATCCAAACGGGCAGTCCCTATGAGCCCTGAAGGTTGGTCTTGTGGTTACAGAATCCTGGATCAGGGCTGGATGAAATTCCCGTCCCCTGCCAGGGGATCAGGCCTCCCTTGCTAGGGCAGGCACCCTCTTCCTTCAGGGCAAGTTCCACATGCGGGGCAGGAGGAAACTTCCCGTGGGGCAGGATAGCCCTTTGCTGCAGGGTTTCTTAGCAGCTGGAGAAGCCCCTGTGCTAATCCAGTGGGGCAGGTCCCCCCAAGTTGAGCTTGGGGCTGAGGATCAGGAGTGGGGCCGGGGGCTCCAAGCAGCGTGTGGGAAGCTCGTCAGGGCTGGGGGTAGCGGGAGGATTCCAGTCTCTGGGGTTATTGGCTGGGCTGGTTCCCTGGCACTAAACCCACCCGCACGCCCAGCTCCAGCACCTCTGGGCAGCCGCTCCCCGCCTCTCTGACCGCGTCTCCTCTTCTCTCCCTCTGCCGCAGCCTGCAAAAGGAAAGAGCAAGAGCAAAGCAAAGCCGACAGAAACCACGTCCCTAAGCGGCACCGGCTGGTCTTCACGGACATCCAGCGCCGCACGCTTCACGCCATCTTCCATGAGAACCAGCGGCCTTCCAAGGACCTGCAGGTCACCATCGCCCAGCAGCTGGGCCTGGAGCTCTCCACCGTCAGTAACTTCTTCATGAACGCACGGCGCCGCAGCCTGGACAAGTGGCTGGAAGAGGGGCGCCCCCCGGCCTCGGGCACCCACACCTCCTCTGCCGTCACTTGCACCAAAGCCTGAGGGGAAGCCAGGGCGCCGGACAGGGGGCACCGCGCCAGGCTGGTGTCGATTGGGTGGGGTTTGATGGGGTGTCGGGGGGTGGGAGGGAGGTTGTTTTTAATTTCTCCTCTCTGGTGGTTTCTTTACCCTTCCCCTGCCCGAGTTTTTTTTTTTTTTCAGCTGTTTCAACAGAACCCACCAGGCCCAGATCCTTAGCTAACATGAAACAGCTCCTTTGCACTGAGTGGGGCCTTGCTGATTTACCCCAGCTGGGGATCTGGCCCCGCTGACTCCAATGCAGCAACGCTGATTTACCCCAGCTGCGGAGCTGAGTTTAAATAATCACAGGCAAGCGCCTCAGCTGGGGTAAATGGGGCCAGACTGATTGGCACTGGCTGGGGAGCTGGGCCCCCCCTTGATTCCAATAACTGCCTGGGAGGCAGGGGAAGCACCTGGCTGAAGATTCGGGCGCCTGGGGGAGGTTGTGGCTCTTTAAAAAGCATTTGTTTCCCCTTGATGATGGAGCCCGTGGTTGTTTCCTTTGGGGGAAGGCGGTGCTGCCCAGAGGTGAGACGCAGAGCCAGGACTCCTGGGTCCTATTTGTGCCCCTGAGAGGGGAGCGGTGGTGTGGGGAAGTGGGGAGAGCTATGGCTGGGAGCCAGGACTCCTGGATTTGGTTCTTGGCTCTGAGAGGGGAGTGATGTCTAGCGGTTAGAACAATAGCCTAGAATCAGGACTCCTGGGTTCTGTTCTTGGCTCTTGGAGGGGAAATGCAATCTAATTGATAGATTAGTTGACTGGGAGCCAGGACTCCTGGGTTCTACACATGGCTCTTACAAGATTTCTAGCAATGTCACCATAAACTGATGAATCAGGAGCCCTGGGTTCTGTTCCTGACTCTGCCACTGACTTGGTGTGTGACCTTGGGGCACAGCGGTCCCGTGCCTCAGTTTCCCCACCTGTCAGAGCCCTTACAATTGCCCTATCTCACTGGGGTGCTGGGACGCTGAATGAGCCAGTGTCTGTCAAGTGTTGAGAGGAAAGGTGCTCTGGAGAGCCTGCCTCCGGGATATGATTGGTTTCAGGGTCAGAAGTCCCAAGGCGAATGGGACATTCCCCCAGCCTGGTTCCCCCTGTGTCACTGACTGGCAGTAAAATCAATCCATCAAAATGATCTTGGGCAACTTAATTAAGGGTTTATCTACAGGTAAGGTACTCCAGGATATCTATTCTGCTTTAAATTCATGCTCTACCTTAATCTGGATTAACTTTCCTGTGTAGACAAACCTGCTTCTTCTTCTGGCCTAAGTGTCCAGACTATGAGCCTGTTTCTGAGTGAGCCTGATTTCCCCCATGCCCAGCACCTTGTGCTGCTGTTTGCACAGGTGCAAAGTGCATTCAACTTGCTGCTACGCTCAGAGAGGACGGCCTTGTCCTCCTGCTCGGCACTGTGCAAGGCACTGTACAAATGGCGCCTTGGACTCAGTGCGTGGAGCTGAACAGCTGCAGCTCCTGTTAACACCTGTGGGAGGTGGGGATTCTCAGTGCTGGGCGGGGGGAATGTTGGATTACAAATCACACCTCGTGATGCGGCTCCCCGGGTGGCTTCTCCCCAGGGCGCATATGGAGGTTTTCCCAGGGAGCCTTTCAGTTTAAACAGCAAATCTCTGGGAATATGACCGGTCCCTTCTGCGGGGGAGGGATGGCTGGCAGCCCGGTGCTCTGTACCCAGCACCCTGTACCCAGCCCCCCTTGTGGTCCTGTCCCATGTGGACAGCCCAATAGCATCAGATGACAGCTTGCTAAGCTCTATGATCTAAAGCCCAGATCCTCAGAGGCATATAGGCACCCAACTCCCATTGGTTTGCTGTGGGGAGTTAGGCACCTAAATGCCTTTGAGGATCTGAGCCTTGGTGCTTTGAAATCACAAGTCCTGATTCTGCTGTCACTTCCACCCGTGCAAAGTGAGTGTGAAACACTCCTGTGCTGATGCACTCACGGTGCACGACCGAATCAGAACAGTGTGTGTGTGGGGGGTCTCCTGCTCGCTATGCACTGCAGCCGGGGCGGGGCTTGACCCCTCCTCCCCACAACCAGGATGCTTGGAAAAATCAAGGGGGGTCTTCTGTCTTGTGTCCCTTCCATGGATGCCTCTGTGGGTTGTGAGCCCAGGGGGGTTTTCTGGGCCCATAAGAGCCATGGGCAATCTCTGCGCGATGGAGGGGCCAGGCCTAGAGGGAACTGGTGTGTTGGAGAGGCCTGGGCATGTAGATGAACCAAACCCATCCTGAAAGCTCCCCAGGCGCAGAGCCTCCAAGGAATGGGGCCGTAGCACCCCTGGAAGTCAAGGGGGGCTCTGGGTTTGTGGGGCACTTATAGGACTGGGCCCGGAGTGAGGTTCCAAAGAGGGGGAGCCACTAACAACACCCCCTCCTCCCTGCCCTGCTAGCCGCTGGGCTGAGGCCTAAGCTAGGGAGCGTCACGCTGCAGTTGGGACAGACCAGAAAACCGGCTCCAACCCCCCTGGGAGCCTTGGGAGGGTTCAGGTCTGGCGCTCGACTTCATAGCTAAGGCCTGGTGCTTTCAAAATCCTCCTTGGTTCGCCTCCCAGCGTCCCCACCCTGCCCCCACTGGAGTCGCCAGCCAAATTCCCCCTGCGCCTCGCTGGGGTCCGGAGCGGCTCCCCTGCTTCGGGGAGGTGGCAACGCTTTTTCTTTTAATTTGCCCCCCGCCTGTCTGTGCATGACAGACACCCTGGGGGGGAGCTGAGCCGCAGCCAGGCCGGGCAGGACCCAGCGTAGCCTTCGCCGGACGCAGCAGCTCGGCACGGCGCAGCGGGATTTTGCTGCCCTCTATGGAACTGACCCCCCCCACCCAGCACCCCACACGGCCCCCAGACCTCAGGCCCTGTCTGCCGGGGCTGCATTTGGAGATGCGGCGACTCAAAGGGCTGGGGAGGGCTTTGAAGCAGCCCCTGACCTTTCCCTCCTCTGAGGATGAGAGGGACTGAGCCGGGCTCTGGCTCAGCCGGGAGCAGCTTCCCCAGAGGGCAGAGGGGGAGCGAAGGCAGAGAGACCCGGGCAGCTTGGAGGGCGGATGAAAGGTGGGGATCAGAGCTGAGCTTTTAGCAACCAGCGTCCCAACGGGCTGCACAGCTGAGCTCCCCGTCGGCTTCCTGGCTAAGGGGGAGGCTGTGCCCACAGTATGGGCAGGGAAGCTGGCCCCACACCACCCTGCCGGGTGCTTCCTGGTGGGATCCACTCAGAGCAAGGAGAGGGGAGTTTGGTCTCCAGTGGTGTCCCCCCGCCCCGATCTTTCGGCTCTCTGCCAGGCTGGCCCACGAAGTGGGCAATGAAAAGGGCTGGGGACCCCGGTGGGAATGGGGCTGGGGCCCAGCAAACTCATCACACCTGGGCCCCAGAATGCAGATTGGATAAGAATATTGGAGGTGGCCATCCCGGGCTCTCAGCTGGGGCTAGATTAGGCAGGAAGTTTCCAGCCATGAGCGTCTGGTTTTCTATCGGTGGCGCTCAAGGGGAAGCGGGATACAGCAACGAATAGAATAAGAGTCCGAGTAAGGCTTGGTAAGGTGCCCATCGCCGTGGTATCTATGCGGGTGGCGGGGCAAGGTGATGCCCTGAGACCATGTCTAAGGCGAACGGGATCCCCTTGCTGGGAGTCGAGAGCACGTGCCCGGGGCAGGACTGAAATCCTGGCACCGCTGACGTTCATCCCCAAACTCCCCGGGGGCTGGGGGCGGCTTTCACCTGCACCAGCGTCGCTACGTTGGTGGCGGACACGTTGTGCTGTTGTAAGACGGGGCTGGCGCCAGTGTCACTGTGGCCGATCAGCTGCCAGGGTCCCTCCAATGGGTGGGAACCCCGTTTTCCACAGGGTGGCATGGCTGCAGGAGGGGATTGCAACCTGAGCCAATTTCCCTCGGCTACCCCAGCACCTGAGATCTTTGCTTGGCAGGCATGCTGCCTGCTTCTACACAATGCAGATGGAATTCAGGGCTTGTGTGTTCGTGTACACACACACACACACACACCCCCGCCGCCGGCCGTGTGGACACATTCTATCCAGTTCAACCTGGTTTAGCTGGCACATCAGGCCAAACTAAACCCGCTGTAGGTCAGGCTTAAAGCCAGGCAAGAGCGTCCACACGCGAAGGTGCACCAGTGTAAGTGAACTGGTTTCAAAATCGCACCTGCGGTTGCCCCGTGATGCTCAGATCCGAGCGGTTTGTCAAACAGTTGAAGCTTCTGGGTGGAAAGGAGTGAGCGAGAAGCAGCCTGTCCTTAATGATCTCCACTAACCCCTCCCGTGCGGTGCTGCCAGGCTTCCGTTCCTGTGGAGCGGGGCTGATCCCAAGCTGGGACGACCACAGTCGCAAATCAATAACCACGTGGATGGGCTGAAAGGCCTCAGCGCTCCCCACGCGGGGCGCACTCGTTCGGATAAATAGTACAGGCCAGAGCCTCTGCTTCTTTGGAGCGATGCTCGTTTCCCCAGCCGGCTCTGCCCCATCCACCTGCTACTCCAGGGCCCTGGGAAATCCACCCCCAACTCCTGGAGTCAGTTACACGTAAGGAAGGATCTGACCTAGAAAACCCTGCCCCGGATTCTGCATGAACACATCAGACCCGGCCGGGACTTAGCTGGCTCCATCTCCCCTTGGCTGTCTGAACGCCGTCCCCACCGCGAGACAGCCCAGGTGTCCGTATCCTGCTGCCTGCCCAGCCGCTCCTCACCCAAATTTGTCCCCATATGTCTCGTGCGACTCTATTGTTTTGTCAAACCGCGGCAAATTTCTACCTCACTTTGTCTCTTGCACCAAAGATACCAAAGATTTTGCAAGGAGTCTCCGTGTGGGCACCTAGGTGGGCCTGCGTGCGTGTGTCGATAGCTATATTTAGAGAGAGATATTTTTTTGCATGGCTTGTCTCTGGAAGTACTCTGTGGTGTCGGACTGTCACCCTGCGTGGGCCAGGAGCTGCTTCCCTCCCTGCAGAGCTGGTGACGTGAGCTACATGCGTCATCTGTCCTAACCGAGACA